CCACTTTTGTCCAAAAAGGGTAAAATCGTCAACTCACACCAACAGAAAAGAAATCACAGTGAAAAGTAGGGACGGGTCGTCACAGGATGACGTCGTCCTGATGTCACATGACCTCAAGCGCAGAGTCACGCTATTCATGGCCTACTCCTCAATTCGGTGGTCTTAAGCCCACCTGTGGCCTTGATTGATTAGGTTGGGGTGGATAAGATAATTGGGGTTTTAGGGGATTCAATTGCTCAACTGTCAAAATAATTAGGTAGGGGTGGACTTGCTCTTATAGTTCTTCTATTGTGGAGGACTTGCTCTTATAGTTCTTCTATTGTAGTTTTGCACAAGATTCTTTCATTGGTTGAAGTATTGACTTATCCAAGTTAAAATATTTTGCTCCATTTTTATATATGTGCTAGAACAACAACCCTTTCTTTCATTGGTTGAAGTATTGACTTATTCAAGTTAAAATATTTTGATCCATTTTTATATATGTGCTAGAACAACAACCCTTACCAATGCCACTTAATTCTAGTAATTGATAGAGATCCGACCGTCGGATCGCGATGGGAATTTAGTATGTTATTCTAGAAGCCTAATGTGGACTTGGGAAGTTATGGATCAGAAATCCAATGTGTGGATCTTCATGATCAAATTACGTAGAGTTGTGGACCCTATTGTTGACCGAGAGTTGATTTGTGGTCAACACGTCTCGAAACGTTTTAAATAACAAAATTAGTACTTCAGAACTAATTGAAGTCTAGTGGGCCTATATTGGTGAGACAGTGACTTGAATGCAGGAGATATGATTATTATCTTAATTTCTTATATTAGTATCATTTGCAATATGAACTGGTCTTATAAATATGATTTCTATTGAAATGTGAACTTTATATATTTAGCCATAGACCTATACTAATTAAATATGTTTTGGCTTGTGTATTGATGATGTTTGTGGTATCTATGTGTTTAATTAACTTTTTAATAATGTGAATGACAATTATGGGATCTAAATATTGTTTGCTAATTAATTGGGTATGATTGCCAAATGAATACCTATTCGAACTTGACATTATTACCTAGCATGAGATGGAGATGAAAGTCAGGATTTGAGTTAGGTACTTTATTAGATTTTTAGGAGAAATAGTAATTGAGGGAATTCCTTGTGTTGTGCTCCATATGATTAGATGCTGGTTGATATGCGGAATCGATAGCATGTATGCGTATAACTATGTATAACTTTTATGCTTGTATGATAAGATAGTTAGTGGTCACGAGAAGTTGATAGTGCAAGTGATTCCGTTGAGTGATGGTTCAGAATCATATCCTTGTTTGGATTCCGTTGAGTGGTCCAAAGTCGCATCACTTTACTTGTTGGTTTCTTAGATTTGATATCAGCTACAGAGATGTAGGCTTGGCTTAACTATGTCACTTTAGCCTTAGTCTTAGTATATTTGTGAGCAATGGTTTTGAGAATCTTGTGGATTGAATTAGAAAAGTTGTTGGACGTTTGGGTGACTCTTTCAGGATTTTCTATGATTTCTTAAATTATGAATTTAGAAGATATGGTTATAGTTGTTATTATTCTGGTCAAATTAGTTAATTAGTGTGGATAGAGAATTGTATTGTGCTTCATCGGTTCTTTGATATGATAAATGTTGTGAATTGCGGTATCATGTTGCGACATAATGACTTATATAGAAGATGGAAGGGAAATCATGATTTTCAGGTGGATTTGTTATGTAACCCTGAGTCTAGTAATTTCATGCTTGTCAAGTTCTATTGATGGATTGAGAAATGTTATGCCTTTCGGCTTAAACGGACTGTGTTATATGTCAATTATAGTGCATGATGAACTACGAATGGCTTGATCCCTGGGTAGGGTACGTAGGCAGTCTAACGAGAATGTTAGATGTAGCCATAAAATGTACAAATTTTAATACGCAATTCGAGGCATAGCATGTGCTTGGTATATATCTCGGAGACGAGTATGTTAGATATAGGGTTATTTGATGACGTCACGTGACACACACACACACACACTCTCTCTCTCTCTCTCTCTAAAATATGTGTTTTTTGTTGTTTTGGATCCAATTTCTTATGTTTTTGTTTCTGAGTTCTTCTGAAAGTGTGGATTTTATTGATTGGAATGAAATTAATGCTTACCCATGTCATCAATTTGGGGTTTTGATCTTTGATTTTGCTAATTTTGGAGGCTCTTGAAGCCCACAATCCTGTCGAAGCAAAACAAAATGTCGGGTTTGCTCCCCATCATCTTTGCCGCGGTCATCTCGAATGCATAGACCAAAGAACGCCTCAAGCTCAAGGAAATCTTCGAGGATGCTCATGAACGAGGCTGTAAGCCTGTAATTGATTTGGATGAAATGTTACCAAAAAAAAAAAAAACGGGTTAACGAGTGAAACGGGTGACCCGTTAGCTTAACGAGTTGAGTTCGGATGACCCGTTAGCTTAACGGGTTGGGTTCAGATGACCAGTTAAATTAACGGGTCGAGTTGAACCGACCCAAATCCAGTAAACCCGATCCGTTTACAGGTTTACACACAAATAAACGTACTCACAAGTAAGAAAACTATAATATAATAATACTTTTGAAAGAAAATACCCACCCACTATAAGCTGCAGTGTCGTAGCCGTCTTGCCTAGCTTTCCCATGAAATTCCTCTGGATAGCTTTCTCCTTCGATTCAAGTTATATGTTGACGCCGTTAATGCCGTTAGGAACATTCCGTCAAGATGGACGGATATTTCGTCTTTTTCTTCCTCGCTGAGTCGATCGCCATTCGCCAGTTGGAATTTCACCAAAAACTAGTCGGAGATGCTCAAAAATTGGCTGGAAAGGCTCGGCCCAATTTGGTTTGGTTGGAATAAAGCCATATTCGAGCATGCAAGTTCGAATCTGGGTCCTGGGAGTTGTGAGGAGGCCGTCTAAACCTTGAACAAATCAATGAGATTTGGTTGGATTGTGCTCAAGAATAACCTTGGTCGGAGTCGTCGGGAATCTCACCGGAGCTCTCGGATGCGAATAGAGTTCGTTCGGTTCTCGGGTTTGCGTGCGAACTCGAGTGTTTGTTTGGTGTTCCTGTGTTCTGGGCATAGAGAGGGACATAGTGATGGTTATTTGGTGATGGTTGTCTCGCCGTAGAAAGCGAGATGGGTGGTGGGGACGGTCTCGATGTTGCACAATGCAATAGAGAGAGTGTGCAAACAGAGCTCGGGGGAAGAAGGAGAAAGTGAGAGGGGTCTGGTTCGGTTTGTGTGGGTTAATTACTCATAAAATGCTTTGACAAAAAAAAAAAAAAAAAAAAAAACCACATAAAATGCGCATAACGAAAACATTTTTGAAATTTCCGGAGGGTGTAAAATTACGATTCCATCTTTCATCTTAAAATGCACATAACTTGTTCATTACACGTCTAAATTACATCATGTTTGTGCTCACGTGTTCGTATTGATGAGTACTAATTAAATAGGATGATAAAAGGGTAAATTATGTAATTAAATAGGATGATATACAATTGCTACAGTTCAATAAAAATGTCAATATACGCTAGATTTATAAGTCAGTATTCCAGACAACCTTCACAACAACAGGTACAACTTTCGGAAGGGTGATAGGTAAGAGCAAACCCTCTATGCGCCAATTCAGCCAGTGCTAAGCAAACACCATGCCATGACCCATCACACTGAAAAAGTACGATATCAGTACAGCTTTTTGAGCAATAAAATTGGTACAATTATTTACAACTAATGAAAGGGCGTGAAGATGCGATGTTTTAAAGGATTACGGAAATCCATGTAAGCATGAAAGATTTTCCAGCAAGGACAATTTAACCAGTTGAATCATAGAAGTATGGGAAAAGACACCAAACAAAGCAACCAAACTATATGCAGATGGGCTTGGGTTTTCAAGTTCATAACAAACAGTTTGGTTAAAAGGCAAGATAAAAATGTCTGCAGATAAGCAGATAAGCAGATTATTGATGAATGGCAGCTTCTCCAAAGGTTATTTAATATATCAGAAAGCCAGCAATGTTCCAACCAATAAAATTCTATAGAAAGATCAAGTCAGTAGCTCTCTAGTGCAACCTTATCCATGCACATGAAACCCTCGGTTTAGTTTTCTAAGAGACAAACGTTTCGAAGAATTAGACCCAAAAAGAAAACTTAAGGATGAAGCTGAAAGAAAGGCTTATTGGAATTCATGTCAATTATAATGGACTGGCATCTCGAAAGGGAACAGAAGACATGATGATCGTTGCATTCCTCAAGGACCACCAACTATTTTGAGCATTGAACCTCATGGATTAATGACGGTGGTGGAGAGGATAAACCAGTGAACTAAACTGAACAACTGTTCCTGAGTATTTACCACAGCAACATATTGTTCCTCATTTCCAAGGTAATTTAGGAGGATTTCATCTAATGGATCTGACTTTCTGTAAATGTGTTTTCTCATTCCAACATCGAATGCCTCAGCCAGATCATCCACATCTTGGAAATCAGACTTTTAGTCAGTTTTGTTTATCTCACAAGCATAACGAATACTCCTTTAAGTTCGTCTGTATAAACTCACTTATGAGGAGAATCATTTCAAAGCTGTTATGCAGATGGGCTTGGCTTTTCAACTTCCACAAAATGAGCATCAACAAAATCATATGAGTTATGAGTATTATAGGGATGTCAAATGCATCTCTTCACCTCCCAACGATCCGATGAGATAAAGAGGCCACTAGATGTTATATTATGCATGGTCTAACCCAAACTGAGTTATAGGTAGGGATTTGCCCTGTAACTTGAATTTTCCATTGAAAAGTTAAAGAAAATAAATAAATAAATAAACATATCAGTTTAGAGAATCAAAAACATAAATGCAATATGCAACTTGCAACTTGCAATCCTCTCAAAAATCATCATACTTGCTCAAGTATCACAATTATTGGTCCTTGACTCTTTAGACATAATCTTTCTCAACTAAATTGCAAACTATGTTAGGCTTCAGATCGTATGAACTACAAAGAAGTGAAAGCAAACCCTGAAAATAGCAGCCGGCACTTCTGTAGCTCCAAGTAACCGGAAATGATTGATGGCATCATCTGTCAGAGAAGATAGGACTTCGTGTGTCCATTCAACAAAGCTGAAGAAGAAAATGTATAAGAAAAAGGTAAGCAAATGCAGCAATAAGAGTGGTCTAGAATTACAACATAATAGCGAGATGTAGAACCATGCACATCAGTATGTGTGTGTAATGTACAAGTACTTAAGGTTGAGTGTTCATATTAAATTTATCACATTCTAAGTTACTTGACATCGAGCATTCATACTATCTAATATTCAAAGAATTAGCAGTAGAACCAGTACTAAATTTTAAGTCTCCAAAAAAAAAAAAAAATTCAACAAATTTATAGTGATACAGAAATAAAACCAAAGGAGGATTAACTCATATTCTCTTGGCTAGAAGGTTATATTCCATAAATATTAAGGTGTAATCGCAGTTTGCACTCAGCTGGAATTTGAATCAATTTTTTCATATAAGCATGCAATGCTAAAGTAGGCGGTTGTTATGCAACATTCTATGACCTATGTACGTGATGAAAGAAACCTGGAAAAAGCCTTTGGCATGTCTGGGCGTGTTAGAAGCTTCAAGAGCAGCAAAGCAGCAATAGGACTCATAGGGCCTGAATTTGAAAGGTAATCTTTGGAGAACCCTACTATCCTCAGTACCAGAGGAGCTGGCTCAAGTTTTCCAAGATTACTGTTGTTTGCAATGCTCGTATCAACAGTGGAGTGATCAAACGGAACCAACACGAGAATAGACAGCCACAAAAGCATCACACATTTAGCTTCCATCTCTCCCGTACTTTCCTGACGCAGTGATGACACTGACTTTGTGTGATGGCACTTCTCCAAGAGAGACACAGCAAGTTCCAAGTCCGAGACTTGATGCGGAAAGAACCTGACAACCGCCTTGTATCCACAAACTGTGACCAGAGAATAAAGAATGATGCATTTAGGTTTAATTACTTCAAGACTTTCATCCGAAGCTATACCTAATTCACTTGTTTTTGAGCGGACAATAAACATGAGCGGGGTAACCATGCTCTCCAAAAAAAAAAAAATTGCTTTCCTTAAAAAATGATTAAACTCTTTGTGGTAATTATAGTTATGGCCAGAAGAAATTTTATCTTCTATATATATAAAGTGAGCACCCTAAAATGGTGAAACATTCAAAATACCATAAGTTATCCTTTAAGAATTTCATAAATTACAATTGAACCAAAAGAAGCTAAAGTATTTAACCATATTTTTATTTTGAATGAATTTAATATTTAAAATTATAGAAAAAAAAAAAAAAAAAACAAAACAAAACAAAACCTCCCACATTAGTGGGTGGTTTCACGTTTTTAATTCATTTCTTTTCTTTTTTTTTATAATTTTTTTTTTAAAATATGTAAATTAATTATTTAAATAAAAGATATATAAAAATGTCAATTGCCACACGCGTATGCGGGTGACAAGAGGCTAGTTTTAAATAAAATTAAAGAGTACCCAAAGACGAAATTTAGGTGTACGAAAAACCACCCTATCAAAAATCAAAAGCTAATAACATTTTGACCTTTTGACAACAAAAAAATGAATAACTTTCTGACCTAGTAATCTCTACTAATTAATATAGCAAAACTCTATGAAATTACTAGTTTAACTCTCTAATTAAAACATAATATGAATAAGAAATATGAGACAGAAATGTAATTTCACACCACCAAATTTTGCTGTTTTTTTTTTCAAAGGCTCACCTACATGTAATCTTAACATATCTCTAATTTTAAAATAAAAACAAATAAATAAATTAAACTTCTCTCTCACATTCTCTACCACTCTCTTCCTCTCTCCTATTTCAAAAATAAAATAAAAAAATTTCTCGCATACTTTGTGTATGCCCATATACTAGTACACAACTATCTCAATTCAGTTATCGGCCACGGTTTGTTAATAAAAAAAAATGATGTAAGTTTATCATTTTCAAAAGGAAAATACAAAACCGTTACGGCCCATATTCCAACCTAAGTACATACTTGGCTTAGCCCATATTACTCAGTCGTCACGGGCCGTCTATTTAGACAGTTCGTAACCTTCTCAAGTGAAATATCATCCGTCAGATCGAATAATTAACGGCTGTGATTTGAGACATTCCCCACTTATTCGCTTCTTATGGGTCAGGCGTAAGCCATTAAAAGGGTATCAGGTTCTCTCGAAAGAGTCGTCTCCTTCACACCTCTCACGCTCTCGCTCTCAGTCTCTCTTTTGTCTTTGCGCATTTCAGCGTAGAGCTCAAAGCGGAGACGCCTCGCACCCGCCACCTCCGAAGGTATAACCTAAATTTCCTCCTGCTATGTTTAGATCTGAATTTTGTCAGTATCGCTTTCAGATTTTTGAGATTTTTTTCATTTACTTTCAATTTTTTTCCAGATCTGTATTTTTTTCTGTAATTTTGATGTGCAAAGGTGATTTTTTTAATCGATTGATTGTTTTTCTGGATCTGATTATTTGCGACTTGTAGTGAGATCTGATCTGCTCGATTTGTTTGCTTTACTGTTTCATATATGTTCATCGTTGTCAGATCTGATTTTCTAGTACATTTTTATGGTGGAACTGTATTGATTTACTTATTTGTTGATTGTAGGTTTGGATCCTTTAGATCTGGACGGTTATGATTGGTTAACGAAGTTAGTGTTTGTTTTATTTCGTTTAGGTGATTCTTTGATGTCGTTAATTGGAAGTTTTTTATTTTTTAAGTGAATGCTCTTGATAAATGTGACGAATAATAAATTGTTGATTTTGGTAACAAAGAAATGATTTTTTTTTTTTTTTTTTTGTAGTCTTAAAAATTGTGAACTGTTTAGTCGGATCTATGATTACTGAATGTTATTTTGTATGATATGGTTTTCAATTTCTTCGGTGTTTACGATTTATTTTAATGCTTACTGTGATTCAATTTTTTATCATAGGCTAAGGAGTTGTATGTTGGGATTTTAATTCTCAAACCTAAAGCAATAACCATTTATTATACGGCATAGGGATTGAATTCTTGCACATTTCAGTGAGTAATAAACAGATTACCATCCGATATGCTGACAGTTCATGTTTAGTACCACTTAAGTTTTCATGAAAACCCTACTTTTTTATTAAAAAATGTTTTTAACTCCCCTATTTGATGAGGTTGTGGTTCTATTTGAAGCATTAATTGTGTGGATATTCTTTTGTTCCTTGATAGTACCATGATGTTGACTGCATCCATGACAAAATAGTGCAAAGATTTGCACTTTTTATAGAATAGATGATCTGATAAGTACGTATGTAGTTTTTAGTAACCATCTGCTCCTTTTGAGGTCATTCTGTGTCAGAAATTTAATTGTTTTCTGATTATTGATGTCAATAGACCTGAAGATTGAGGCTCGTCCTCTATTATTATCTGTCTCTGGAAGTACAAATGATTTTATAACTGGTTTTATAGTCTACTTGATGCTATTATACATAATTGATGTCAGTTCAGTTTTGGTCAAGTTGTATCATTTACATCAGGAATGGTTAATATTTTTGGTTATCGTGGTAGATTCTGTTTCTGATATGGTATATGCACATTCTTGTAGGGCAACAATGGTTGATCAGGTTCAACATCCTTCTGTCGTCCAGAAGGTAGCTGGCCAGCTCCTTCAGCAATCTATCCAGGGTTACGATAATGGCTTCCAAAGACCAGGAATGTACCAAAGACGTGCTTATGGGAACTACACAAATGCTGCACTGCAGTATCCCTTCATGCCAGCATGCAGAGCTACCACTGATATGTCTTTGGTTCCATCAACTGCATCTCCTATCTTTGTTCAAGCCCCTGCGGAGAAAGGCCACTTTCTTATTGATTTTCTCATGGGCGGAGTCTCTGCTGCTGTATCTAAAACTGCTGCTGCCCCAATTGAGCGTGTCAAGCTGTTGATTCAGAACCAGGATGAGATGATCAAAACTGGTCGTTTGTCTCAACCCTACAAGGGCATTGGAGAGTGCTTTAGCCGTACAATCAAGGAAGAGGGTTTTGGTTCATTGTGGAGAGGGAACACTGCCAATGTTATCCGTTACTTCCCCACTCAGGTTTGTGATGTTATTTTTTAATTAAATGTTCCATTGGCAAAGAAAAGTTTTGATGCGTACTTGTACTAAAATTGTTACCTGGATTTGTTGTAGGCCTTGAACTTTGCATTCAAGGATTACTTCAAGAGGCTGTTCAACTTCAAGAAAGACAGGGACGGTTATTGGAAATGGTTTGCTGGTAACTTGGCTTCAGGAGGTGCCGCTGGTGCTTCTTCTCTTTTCTTTGTCTACTCTTTGGATTATGCTCGTACTCGTTTGGCTAATGATGCTAAAGCTGCAAAGAAAGGAGGAGAAAGACAATTCAATGGTCTGGTTGATGTCTACAGGAAGACATTGAAATCTGATGGAATTGCCGGTCTTTACCGTGGATTCAACATCTCTTGTGTTGGAATTATTGTCTACCGTGGTCTCTATTTTGGACTGTACGACTCACTGAAGCCTGTTGTCCTGACTGGAGGCTTGCAGGTTAGTGGATTACTTTTATTTATTCACTTACCTTTTTGTTCATGGTTATATATTCTTATGATGGTGTTGGCTTTGTTTACGCTAGTTGCTAGCCCAATTTTGGTTTTTTATTACGTTCTGTGTAATTGTTGAATGGTTATATATTCTTATGATGGTGTTGGCTTTGTTTACGCTAGTTGCTAGCTCAATTTTGGTTTTTTATTACGTTCTGTGTAATTGTTGAATATCTTGTATGTGTGCATATTGTTATGGCATAATATTTCTTATATTAGTCATTCATTTCCCTTTGAGAAAGGACTATTAATTTTGCAAAAGGTTTAATGATGCGTCCTCTCTTTTGTTTATTATTTTTGGCTTTGCTCTATTCTAATGCTTTCTTTGCGAAGCATTACAAAGAATTGTATGAAGTGTCTATTTATGTTGGTTTTTAAAGAATGCTATGCCACAATGTTTGAATCCGTTGCCCACAATCATTATCTGCTTTCAGTTGTGTGACGTGTTGCTTTATTGTTTTGAAAACTACAGGATAGTTTCTTCGCTAGCTTTGCCCTCGGTTGGCTCATCACCAATGGTGCTGGTCTTGCATCCTACCCAATTGACACTGTCCGCAGAAGAATGATGATGACCTCCGGTGAAGCCGTCAAGTACAAGAGTTCCCTGGATGCCTTCCAACAAATCTTGAAGAATGAGGGTGCCAAGTCTCTCTTCAAGGGTGCTGGTGCTAACATCCTCCGTGCCATTGCTGGTGCTGGTGTGCTGTCTGGTTATGACAAGCTACAGCTGATTGTGTTCGGCAAGAAGTACGGATCTGGTTCCGGTTAAGAATATTTTTCCTCCCAAGCCATATTAGCTTTTAGATGGTGATGAAAATCTTTTTGAGTTTTTGATGAACTCGTTTCGGCAAAATTTTCTTAAAATAATTCAGTTATAGGGGAGTTAATCCCAAACCGAATTTTACTGCGGGATTGAGTTTTGTTTCCCATAAACCAGATTATTGAGTGGTGAAAAATTCCATTCATCTTGAAGTTTCATTTATGTGATTTGCTAGTTTTTTATGCGTGTTTCTGTTTGCTTTGTCAAGTTTATGAAATCCAAACTGATTCAGCATTCTTCGTTCATTGATGTCGAATTACTGCGCTCAAAATTTTGTTTCTGAAATCCTGCCTACTGTCGAAGGGAATTGATTTTTGCACACCTTATTTTCGTCTTTTTACACGCCTGCTTATTGCTGGCGACCGAAACTAACAAGTGGTGTGTAAGAAGGGAAGATGGTACGAGCGAAGAGCATTACCATACTGTCTATTACTGTGAATTGAAGTAGCAAAAGTGTGAACCGTACTTAAGGGGTTGGCCTATTACTGTGAATTGAAGTAGCAAAAGTGTGAACCGTACTTAAGGGGTTGGCTTAGTGGAAAGTAGCAAAAGTGTGAAACTCTTAAATCGAGTTTGAACCATCACGGATGCGATTTTAGGGGCAACCGGCTACTGTGTAAGGGTTAAAAAGCTATTTGCGCCTCAAGTAGCATCGGAACCGATGGAGAAAGGGATTAGTGTTTTCATGAATGTGGGTTGAGATACTGAGATACCCCTACTAAAAAAAATTAATGTATTTCTTGATCTTTGTGAGTCTTGAGTGGTTTAATTTTTCACTATAACGTTTTACTGAAGAATAAAATTACCACGGATTCGTTCGTCTCAGCTGGAGAAATGATTACGAAGATAGAGGAATCAAACCTTGATCCACGATGCCCTTTGAAAATCTAGTCTTCTTTGTCTCTGTTTCGTTGACTGCACGTCTAACCATTCATTGCTCTAGCGTCGTATCGGAGCATAGTAAAAATTTTGTGCTAAAAAATGAAATACACTAGCTAAAGATGAAAGGCCGAAACTGATGTCATGTTCTATTCTATGCTATCCTAAAACAAAAGAACAAAGAAGGGAGGGTCCAAAACGATGATGTCATTGCTTATCAGTCACGTGTATTGTTACCCAAGGGTTTTAGCTTCCCTCCGTCCTCGAAAAAGGCCATGTAAAAGGTATTTCGTCTTGAAGGATAGGCTTAGATCTATTAACGGATCCGATCAAGTTTGATCCATATTTCGGGTCCATCATAATGGGACAGTACACATTAATTCTAAGAAATTGTTATTAGCACTTTAAAAATCTCATTCTTCACTCCAAACTTTCTATATTAGGAAAGAAAAATACACTTGTGAGAAGTGTAGAATGAGATTTTTTGGAATGCCAATAACATTTCCCTAATTTTATAGCGAATTGGATCCTCGTTGGATATAATTAAGGGAACTTTAACGAAAAGCTCATGGTACTGTTCACTTTAACGAAAAACCATATTTTTACACTAAAAAGTCAATCCAGTACTATTCACTTTACCCTTTATTTGTCCTTATCGTTAAAACTCAAAGTTTTCAAGTCATTTTCATTAGTTTTTCTTATAATTTATGATCTAAAAAATATCAAAATATCATTACTAACAACGTTCTTTTAATAAGCGTATTTTGAATGCGTAAAAAAAGTCTTCAACTTCTATTAGAGGCTAGTATAATATAAACCAATAATAGGTTACGGTCTTACTCGGATAAGTTATATTAGAAGTCTCGATCATTGACATGTCTAAGGGCTGGTTTGGTATTGCTGTGCTTTGAAAAAAAACTGTTTCTGTTGTTCTGTGAAAATAAGCTCATTTTTGCTGCTTCACATTTTCAGCTTTTTTTCATCTAAAACTGTGAAAATAAGCTGTTTTTAAGTGTTTACCAAACACATTTTTGAGCTCAGCTTTTTTTTATACTCACTTTTTATAAAAGCACCTCAGTACCAAACCAGTACTAAATATGCTTACTAAACATAGGAATACAATATCATACACCTCCTTAAAGCTCTTATTACACAAACCAAAGAGACCTTAAGGTAAATGTTTGTACAAGGATTTAGGCAAATTTAGGTAGAAATATGTTACAAAATATTTCCTCGTACCGCCGAGGTTCTCCAAAAAAAAAAAAAAAAAAATGTTACAAAATATTTAGACCGAGAGATTAAAAATTCACCACACTACATGACTATCAAAAACCGCTAACACAAAGGATTTTCAAAATACTTATTTCAAGTATTCGTATGCAAATTCCTTTGTGCATCCCGTCTAGTCATTCCAAATACATTTATCTAATGTTTTTATTGTGCATCTCTTACTAAATGTAGTCTAATCACTTAGTAGATTAAGAGCATTTTTAAGGGAAACGTCAAATTCAAAAATCAAATTTCAATTTGATGGCTGACTTGGCAATTTGATATATTGTTAATATTTTTCTTCCACCTGATATTCCAAAATTTATTGCTTTGTTTATGTTTTTTAAACAAAAATAATAAAAGTTGAGTTGTTGTGGGTTTAAAAATAATAAAATAATACTTAAATATGCTAGCATTTAAGGTAATGCAAGTGGAATGTCTTTGGAAATAGCAAAAATCATATTCGAAGGCAGCTTCAAATTTTACATTTTTTTGTCCATGTCCGCTTTAACATGTCGGTTGGAGTAAATGGTACGTCATTTATTACTGTTATATGTCTATTTGACATTTTTTTACATCTCATTTGGAGATGGTCTAAGCCTCAACCATTATGATTATAAAGGATGGATTTGTAGTTTAACTTTTTTGCACAACTTTTGGCACACATTTTTATGGCCCACTCTGTAATATCAATGATAGGAACGGTCTATATTTTAGAACATCATTTATAGATCATCTTTACAAAAAAGTAGACAAATCGAAATCATTAAGGCATTCATTTTGTAGTGAAGAAAATGAATGAATATGGTTCTACAAAGAAACCTAAGCCTTAATCCAACGGTCACATGGTTTCAAATTTGGGTGATGTTTGATGGACTTGTTCGTTGAGGGGAAATCTAAAAGATTGACAGTTAGGAGTGTTGAAGTACATTACGAAGTTGCTGCCACAAAAATATGAGTCAAAAGTTGTGTAAAAGAAGTGGTGTCACGGATTCGGCCATAATTATATTATAATCGTGGTTAAGACTTGATTAAAAACAAAATTAATCTTAGCTTTAATGAAGTTGACTCAACATATCACTTTGGAATAACTAATCTCAGCCTTTTACGTTTAATTTTGACCAGCTTTTTTGTTGGAAGCCCCATGAATTCCTTGCTTCGAGTACAAGGCCCTATGTGCCAATATGGTCCCAGAGACACAATTCACCACAACTAGCATTTGATCTTTATTTATTTCTACATATTCAATGAGCTTTATGACCCCAAAAAACCAACTTATTTAATTTAGGGAATTAATATATCTCTCTAGGGAACAACGGGTTCCCTTCTTTTTATTTCTTGGTCCCAACTGCTGCCTGCCTTAATACATGTTTGGATTAAAAGGAGAAAAAGAAAAGTTGAATGTCACATTACTCTTGTGCCTAATTTGTTCGGTTTTTTTTTTTTTTTTTGACAAATGATAACGTCGGTGGCCTAATTTGAAAGTAAAAAGTGTGTTTCAATCCAATATACATTGTCATGTAAAGAAAAACATGACATTATTGGATCAAGACGTCATGTTATAGTAAATCTGTTTGATATCTTTCTCCCAATTTATGGGTACTGCATCATGAGCCATGTGATGAGATTAGTACAACTAATCTGTTGTCTCAACTTTTTATAAGGATTGATTATCCTACAAAATACTAATAAAAATGATAGAAATTTCCCTACATTTTGTCGGACCACTTGCCTCACACGCACGTGAAGTCCACGTGCTTGATGCAAAAAAACTTATAACCTAAGTGGCGACAGGGTGACATTGCCCTGATGTCACATGGCCTCAGGCACGGACAAGGATTGTCTGCCCTCCTTGTTCCCGTGCCCTTTCGTGCCCTCCTGTTTTATGTGATCACGGTTAAGTCACGTCAACATTTTATATTGTTTTTTTAAGAGATAATAAGACAAAAATGAATAATAATATAAAATGTTGACATAGCTTAACCGTGACCACACAAACAGGAGGGCACGGGAACAAGGAGGGCAGACAATCCTTGTCCCTCAGGCACAGGGTCAGGCTATTCACGCCCCAACTCCTCATGTTTTGCATAAGATTCTTTCATTGGATGAAGTATTGACTTATTCAAGTTAAAATATTTTGCTCCATTTTTATATAAGTGCTAGAACAACAACCCTTACTAATGGTTCAATCAAAATGCTATTATATTATTTTGTATTGCGTAGAAGCAAAGCTTTCAATGGACCCATATAATACTCAGCCATACCTTTTCTTTCTAAAGAAACCAATGAACGAATGACTTAGACAAAATTAAATACATAATAAAGTTTGTAATGACTACTTAAGGCATCATTCAAAAGTGAAAAGTTCACTTATGTTTTTTTTTTTTTAATACAATGCTATTATTTACATTAAGAAATAGAAGATGAAGTTAAACTACACAATGGGCTGGCCATATAAATCTGGTTCAAATACCCTTTCTTGAGAATCGAAACTAAAACCTCTCACTTTTATTAATGAACAGACGACTTATGGATTCTTTAGACTTTATTCAAATTAGCAAAGTAAATAAACTCCCAATGGAGGAAGACTTACATGAAACATGTTTACCATATGCTTGGCGTCCCCTATTCAGTAATGCATTGCCATATGTAAGTTTTTCTCTACAAGACAATGTCATATTGAATCGAAACTCTCCGTGACAGCAAACTCATTCTATATAAGTTACTCTTCTCCCAAAGACACATTACCTATATGTTTTTTAAAATCATCACAATTTCGAACTTAGAAATCATTGAAGTGGAATTTGATGCATGTTTTATTCATCTATGGTAATCAAATGTGTCGCATTTGCTGGTGAGAATTTATACTATATGTTTCTTGCTTTAGGGAGCCTTGAAATTTTGGCTTTTCACACTCAGGTTTCGATGAAAACCGCTATGACACTCTATACTATATAGTGATATAATAAGAGTTTTATAATCCAAACAATCTTATGCCTTATTACCAACAACTCAAAATAGATCGCCACGTGATATAA